GTGCACTCGAACCCGAGTGCACTAGTAAGCAGGAGTGTTTATTAATATACGTTGGGTAAGGGCAAACCCGTTATATATAATTAACATCTCCCCAACGCAAAAATACATCTTGAAAAAAGACACATTTATGCACATATCATATCCTGTTCTCTTGAAAGAAATTAAATTACGGAGTTTGAGTTACCATTTTAGAATTAATAAGAGTACACAGTACGGGGGGATGATTCGATTTATCGCATATACCGGGACTCAATATTGGATCGCCAGTATATAGATTATCAAAAAATCTGACATCGACTGACCTAAAGTACACGTGCCACAGGTGGGGCAGTAGTACAATTCACAAAAAGGCGAATAAGTCGTCACTTGGTCTCATGCAGATAAGGTAACACTAATATGAACAAGTTCTGCAGCACGTTGAGGTATACGTGCAGATACTCATTCCGTACATTATGGGCCAGTGCTTACTCGGCTGTCGTTGAAGACATCTTTCGTCACATAGGAAACTGTTGGTTGGTACATGTAGGGAATGCCGGAACTGTTATTAACCGGGCCATCACTGACGGAGGCGGGGTTGGGAAACGGTTGCCCCAGCAACACCTCAGTGGATGAAAATGTAGTTATGATACACCAGTCAGCCTGTACCACATGAGGAAGATTAGAAAAGAAGGGTACAACTTTAATAGCACGATTCTTGAACATTTATATTGGTACACGTGCATGTGAATATGCATGTAAATGTGATACCTTAGTCTGACGCTTTATGAAGGAGTACAGCTTGACCTTGCGAGCAATTCAGGCAAAGGGAGAAATTATTCAACTTGGGTGAACATTCCAAAGCCCAAAACTATGTGATTTGTATTGTTTATGAGTGATGGTAAAATTCATAGCGAGAGTATTTATACATTTTACATAGCCGAAACAGAAACAGACACATAAACCTTTAAGAATCTATCTGAAAAGAACACAATGCGAAACGCTGATTTCACTGATAATCTTTACCTGGAATTTTTCCTTCTCCAAAAAGAAAAACTCATTGTCCTGTTGACCATTAATGTTAAGAGGAAAAATCCTTTGGAGAGACAAACAATGCAGCACGTTTTTGGATATTTTGTTAGTGTGCATGTACCTTATGGACGATGTAACGTGCTCTCTTTGCTAGTTCACCATGTGGAGGGGGGTCTGCACCCTGTCCAATAGAAAAACAGTATTAAGTTTAGCACAGGTTTGACATATTAGTAGGCCTATATGTAACTTTATCAGCCTTTTTGGAGCATGGCAGACACAACGGGGAGAGCGCTATTTGCAATGGGTAAATTTAAATGGGCGTCAAGTGATGTCCGTGTATGAATCTCTTTCTGAGCTGGAGTTACTAACAAATTCATCTCATATTAAAATCCCGGTTTATACTCAGTAGTCCAGTCACAAGTCCATCACAAGTCCTTTCATAAGACTAGTCTTTTTTTTTGTCACAATTCATTGGAATAGCTTGTGACTTGGTCTTGGTTAAACATTGAACGAATTGCGATGGACTTGTGTTGGACTTGCAGGGACATGTGATCAGGGTGATGGACGCGACTACCCCACTGAAAAAGACATGTAAGGTCAACATGGTAATTAAACTGTCTACAAATCGCCCCGATAACTCGTTCTCCTCTAGCATGTGTTGAAATGGGGGGTGTAAGCTTTAAAAAATGGCTTCAATGAGGCTTACGTGGATTGTGTTTCTGAGTGACAACGGCAATGAGTCGTAAGGCTATAGCTTGATCATGTTGATGCAATGATGGCATGGGGTAATGGAAACTGCAATCCCTTTACAGGCCTACAACTCATTATACCTGACTACACTTGATAGCAGCATGGAGAAACCATTGCTCTATGATGGCAACTATAAGGCAGGCTACGTTATCACCAGGCACTTGGTCACTACCAAAAAGTACAACTGTATCACTAAGGTACAAGGTTCGTTAAATTTGGCACTAGGGGTCTACCCTTTCCATGCCTGGAACTGAATAGGCCTAGTAGTCCGCTATTGGACTGAAAGACAGTTTTAAGGCGCCTTTCCACATACGCGTCAACACTAGCGCCAAGCGTTTTGTATCCGTCAAAATCGCTCTCGGGGCGATTTTGACGGCCGAACGGAACGCGCACATGTGTTATGTTGATTTTTGTGTTCGTAAACGTAAAGTGCCTGCATGCATCGTGTACGCAAAGCACCTAAACAACGTACATTATAGGAAAGGCACATTTACTCACTTTGATCACCGTGCAGGACAACAGCAACAAAGTTGCAGTCACCAAGGATATCATTGTGTTTTCAAGAAAGATTGCCAGTGTTACTGAAAAATGAAGATAAGTGTGGCTGCTGGTTACACCACGCTTACAACTATACTTCACATTTATTATCAGGGCAACACCATATCAGACATGTGTCACGGGATCATTGCATGTTGGAGTTTGATTGGTTAATTTCCTCCATAGACAGCGTGTACTGAAGAGAATGAACATTAATGTGTGCTTTTATATGAACTTCTAACATAAAATGAACGGGTGCAATAACAATAGACGCTCATTGTTAGTGTTTGTAGAGCGGGGGAACTGGATGGAAGTGGTTAAGCTATGTGCCATCGCTGGACGGATAAACAAAGTTTAGAAAAGGGTAAACGGCGCGCTGGTTTTTTTATGCCCACGTCACAAAGAACTGGATGGAGTTCTACATCATTGGACGGATGAACTATACTTGAAGAAAACGGCACATATGTTGTGGCGTTTCTTATTTCGTGCCCATATCACAAGTAACTTGATGCCACTGATTAATCTACATGTACTATTGTTGGACGGATGATTTCTTTTAGAAAATCACATAAGGTGTGCCGTTTTCTATTCTATGACTTGACACAACTTAGGCCTAAGCCGTGGATCCCAGATGGACAGGACGACTTAGTGTTTTCAAGTGAACTATTTTAGAAAAGGACACACATTGTGCCATTTTCCAGGTTTTTTAGCAGTGTAAAAGTCTGACTATTCTCGCGTGAAATCGTTTCATGAAATCTTTAATCTTGTTGGGATCATTGGGAGTCACTATCAAGACGTCCGAGTATTGACCGTTGTGGTAATTTGCGCCAGTATTCACTACAGTTAATAAACACGATTTTGAAAGGATTTGCGTTATATTTACGTTTCGTAGATGATATTTGGGTAAATTTAACAGTCTGGCAACCTCTTCGTTTAAACGCGATTGAGGTTGGGGTCTATCACTAGAAGTGTCATCCTTTTTGAGTCTGGTGCACTCTATAAAAAACAGAGGCTTTAGATCGAGTTTGAAAAGAATTCGAACCAATCTACGTTGTAATATCCTGGCGGTATAATGCTGCTTCTCTCTCTCTTCTTGGGGTAACGGTTGCAACAGACTTTCCGATAATAGGCTAAAGCAACGTAGGTCGACACCAAGGAACTCTGATTGGATCACGGATGCCATGAAGTCCATGCTCAGTCTTTGATGGAAGCCATGTCGTTTTATTTCCGGATGTAGGCCTACTTTTAAAATACACAGTGGCAAGAAACAAAACCTGATGAACAGAATATATAGCAGGCTAGCCCCACTGAATTTCCCCCAAAATATTTTGAGTACATGCAGGCGTTGTCGGTCACGTCTGTCACTCTGCATTGCTCAAGTTGCCACCCAGCATTTATCTTTGAATATGTTTTAATTCATCCACTGATCAGTATATACACATGGTCGAAATATCTGGCCATCAACGACACTATCCAAATGTTGACGAATTCCGAGAATTTCAGACGCCTTCGGAAAATGGGGGAATTTTTCCGTTTTTTATTACGTGACATCGGGTGATACTGGAACCTTGAATCGAGAGGAAGTACACGTAGTGAGATTCATTGGATCTGGGAATCAGATTAGACTTGAAGCTCATTCATCCTGCATTGACCAATCACGTTCTTTTTGCCAGCCTAAAGTAACTGGTGCCAGTTTTAAAAGGCAAGATGATTTTTCTTGCCTCCCTACAAAGTTTTAATATGTAGTTCTTATTTAGAAATATATTTCAACTACGTGACCTGTGAGGAGGAGCTCAAGGAATGTTCTGAAGGAAAGTATAAATTTGTTTCTGACTGGTTCACTTCCCTATAGGTTGATGAATAAAATGTATGGCTTGTTTGTCAACCAACTTGTTGGTGCTAAAATCAACTCCGTGAAAGTGTTACAGCGCCCTCAGTTGTTCATATGTGTGTAGGTTACTATGGACGTCAACGTGCGCACACGTGTTAGTGAAAGGCTTAGGGCCGTGGGCAAAAGGATTTTTCAAGCTTTATTTTGCTTCTTTTCTTGACAGAAAGCTTTGTGTATAAGGGTCTTTGTGTATAAGGATCTTTTGAATAACCGTTCGTTTTAGTATTTTGTGAAATTTATAAGAATGACTACAGTGAAGAGATCCTAGCTGTGCATGGGTGTATGATGTGTTTTTGTTGGGTGTACTTGGGTAGATCATCATAGAGGAATTCCTCCATGAGTAGATAAAATTGGCACGTATAATATAGCATTGCAAACATCGACAAGGAACTAGAGCATATGAACCCTGGATGGAGGAGCCTGTAATAAATTTGCGGAAGGTTAAATTTTACGCTGAATACCAATAGCAATTAATGAAGGGTGCGTTATCACGACAAAACAGTATAAGTGTACGTTATTGAACTGTAACACTATACGTTCATATATGGGTCACAACGTTAGGCACAAATGTTAGGCCACACTCTACCTTTGCCTGCCGTGCAATTGGGCTAGGCCTATATTACGGACAGAACATGCAAAAATCGCGGTAAAGTTTACTCACATCGATCACTGTGCAGCACAACAGCAGAAAACTTACAGTCACTAAGGATATGATCACTGTGCGTTTAACTTGGGGTCGCTAGAGTTTGTGATCGTGTGGACGCTTGTTTGAAACCCTACCGTTTGCTATCGGAGCATGACGTACGGCCACGACCCGCGATCACACGATGAAGGCCATGCACGCATATGCAGACGGTTAGCCATAGGTCACGTTTCAGGCTGCCATGGCTTCAAATCTTCCCATTGTCAAGCTTTGTGGAAAAGTCGTAGCCACAATGGCAGAGACTAGTACAGTTCCTGTTTTACGGTTTGCCGCTACGAATGTGGCCAAAAGTGTGGACCGGAAAGGCTTCAAATAAATTTCTCTTTGTACGGAGGCGCATTTAGGACATGACTAAAAAAATTTGACGCACTATTTCGGCTGGGAAGATTACTAATTCGCCCGGGCGGATCACCGTTTCATCCGGATTACTATTTCGCCTGGGCTGAAGTGTAATCCACCTGGGTGGATTGATGGCGAAATTGTGAAGCACAGGTATAATTCGCCCGGGCAAAATGCTAATCCGCCTCGGTGGAATGGTGATTTGCCCGAGCGTCAATAGCAATATCTGCCCAGGCGACATACTGATTTGCCTGGACGAAGTACTTGTCCGCCTGGGCGGAATAGTAATCTTCCCGGGCGCATTAATAAGGCAACAAAAATCATGTTTTACTCATATCCTAAATGTTTCCGTAGATATTTGTGAAACCGTTACACTACGGAGAAGCATGCATGTACCATATACATGTATGATCACAGTGCAAGCAGCTAGGTCCTGATTTTTAAATCAGATTAATGAACGGTGTTATCTTACTGGGCGGTGGTGGGTACAATAAAGACAACATAAAATGAATACTGTCGAAAAATAATCTTAAATAATTATACCACGAAAATATTAACAGAGAACAAAAACTGAAAGTAAAACACACGTAATATACATGACAGGCATGCAAATTCCTCGAGCGTAAAATAATGAGCCCTGAGCTTCACCAAGAGAGGGCGCAATTTTTTTACTCTTTCCGAGGCTTCTTTGGTTTATAGAACAATAGAGATAGTTACTATCATGATTTCTGGACATCGCTGGTTCACGGCGACAGTGAGATGCAAGCGTTACAATCGCGTAGCTACCAACAAAATGAACACTCCCCACCAACATGTTTTTTTTTTTAATCGAAGAGGGGGTTGCTTCTGCTCAAGGCAAATCCTTCGCGATACCGTTTGGTATCCAGTCTGAACTGTAGAAATAAAATGTGCGGCTCCTGAGGTTAGTTTTTGGCCAAACTGTCCGCTGAAGCAAGAACAGATTTCGTAATTTTTCAAAGGTACGAAATTTTCCATCATCTTGAACTTGCGCGCATAAACAACGCCCCTGGGTGAGGTGCCTCCCTCACGTGGCATTGCCAATGTCGGACAAATCCTAAGGAGTTTTTCTCCATGCATATCATTTCTCCTGTGTAAAACACAATAGAGAATACGTCGATTGTTATAATGGGTAATAGAATTTCATAAACCCAGAAAAATTTAGTGTTTAGTATTTAGTTGGGAATTGAAACTTCTGTTCAAAAAATCGATGCCTACAATATTCGAAAAATTTACCGTTCCAGGCACCGATTTCTTCCAAATCTCACTCAGACACAACCTGCCATTCGTTTTGGTCATCTAAATGTGTCTTTTCTACAAATCTCCAAGTTCACAAGCCACAAAATGATCCATTTTGTAGAAAATCTGAGTGCATACAAATTGAGATTTGGCCGGCGCAAGCAGTTTTCGGCCCATTGCTAGCCTTAGTTTACTCATGATTGGTGGGTAAGTGGGGCGCCGCCGCGCGGCGATTGCTTGTTCCTGAAACTTTCCGCCGAAGAACAATTGTGCCCTAGCAATCCACCACTGTTTGATTCAGTAAGTAATTAAATTATAAGGAGCAGAAGTGTTTACGTTTGTTTTGATCTTGCACAAGTGGCGTCATCGCTGTATAAAATCATTTAATGTGCCTCGTATTCTAGGCAAAGCTTAGCGTGTGGTAACTCCTCTGATGTTTACTCTTTGGAAATACATTATCATCATCATCCCCACCATCACCACTATCATCACCACCACCAGTTCTCTTGCTTTGTTGGCGTCGAGCCAACCAGTCTAGTTGGAGCTCTCCATCTCAGCCGGTTCTGGGCTAGGTGTTTGGCCTGATCAAGTGTGACATTCCACCTCCTTATAAGGTATTTGGCCGGAGCGTGGGGGCCCCCTCGGGCGTCTCCAGCCAGCCAGTTGTGGTTTGAAATCTAGGATAGCCCGGGTAGGGTGCTCAGGAGGGAGGCGTAGGATGTGTCTGTACCAACGCACTCGTCGCATTGCTGCGAGGCGGGAGGCAGAAAGCTGTTGTGTCCTTTCTCTGAGCTCCTCGTTAGTCCGTCCATCTGATGCCACAGATCCTAATCAAGGCGTTGCTGTCAAATCCGGCAATCCGTGCCGCCAGGGTGTTGTTAAGTGGCCAGGTGGCCGTTGGCAGGGAGGATGATGCACTGTCGTGAGATGGAATAGCTTGTATGAGCTATTCAGGCTGATTGAAGAACGAACCCTTGTCCGTGTCTGCACTAACCCTTGTCGGGGCGTATGCCACAATGGCTGTCGGTTGTCCCTGTTGGTGTAAGAGTCGCCGTCAGTAGCCGATCGGACACGGGTTTCCACCTTATTACTGTGTTTCTCAAGCGTGTAGGATGGCCAGGGCTTCTCCATAAAGTCGTCTCCTTTCCGCTGGTCCACTCCAGAAAGAAAGTGGTCTCCAGCAATACAGTTCTCGCCCATCGAGCTTCGCAGGTGCCTGCGAGTGAGATGTTGCAGACAGTTCATTGGATAGTAGTGTTGCATGCCCGAGACGGAGAAGATTTTGAACGTTCCATATAGCGATCTGTGTCTTGAGTAAGTTCAATATTCGCTGGTTGGGGCTAGCGAGGCTCGATTCCGAGAGAGATCGGTCCAATTTCTGCTCTGGTTTGTGTCGTAATTTTGGAGTTCCGCCTTGCTGAGTAGTTGGCCATGCGATGGCCAGTCAACTGGTGGGGCTGCAGGCAATTTGTAACCTGCTGACGTGCTGGACGGAACTGCTTAGTACCTCCCTGGTGCCGCATACCCCTCAATGGTTACAGGTCTCCCGTGTACCAGACCCAGGTAGGCATCACCTTGGAACAAGCTGCTACACCTTGACAAAGCTACGGAGTTCCTTATCTCAGTGGGGTGCAGCTAGCCCCAATGACCGTTGCAGCTTTGAGAATTAGAAAAATGCATCAGGGCTGGAACCCTTAGAGATAGAAAGAACTAAAAATGCTGTGCTGGCCATCTAGGAATGGAGTGTACTGTAGTGATATTGGCTTTTTTGGGGGGGTCTTTGAGTATATGTATTGAATGATAAATTTCACTGTCCATGTATCTAAGGTGGGCACTATATACAACATACTGTGACTGGCGGTACTGACTTTATTGGTTGGTAACTGGGGAGAAAGAGGGGTTACGGGGTCAGTCCACAGAAGTGGTGGTGTGTAAGTTCGTTGGTGTCACGACGTTCAGAGCAGGTCAAAAGTAGCCACATCACCGAAGAATATAAACTGCAAAGTAGCAACAAAAACAATGCTAAATTCCAGGACCATTCTGTAAACCTAACGCGTACATGTAGTTCTGTGGTTTGTAGCCCATCTTTACAGATTTATGCCAATGTACAGAGATGATTTCCTTCCATTTATTTACTAAAACATGTGGTCTTGGCCTTGGTCTCGGACGGCTGGTCTTGGTCTTCGTCTCAGGTTGCTTTTTCTGGCCTGGTCTTAATTGGTCTTGGTCTGTTGGTCTCGGTCGTAGACTGCTGCCTGGTCTTGACTACAATACTGGGCGGAACCTCTCTAAGACGGTCCAAAAATAACGGGGCTATTCAAGGGTTAAATAAAAATTAAAAAAAATCAAAATAAACAAATAAACAACATCCCCCCCGTGGAATTTAAGGTGCTGTATAGGCGCAAGTGGGTTACCTATTTAAATTGTAGATGGTAACTCTTGTTGTACAAAGTTTTACATTTCCGTTTGTGTCACATAACAGTCACTTTTTACCCTATATAGTACGTTTGTAAAGGCTCGAGCTGGCATACTGTCTAACCCAACCCAGTCGTGCCCACACAGCGCTGCACGAGTTAATACCTCGCTACTGTTGCCTGCATGTGCATGGCGGGCTTTAGGCAAAGGTGGAGATTTCACCATCAGTAGTGCCATCGCACTAGGCAGTGTGGGATCGTTTTCTAATAGCCATCGATGAATTGCAAATCGCCGAAAAGTCATTTCCTAGTTATTTATTTCATTTCCAACTTGAAATGAAATAAAACAAAACGAATAGACTGCATCCTTCCATCTGAAAACTTACATTACCATTTCAATACCACTCCTTTTGGTCGAGGTCCCGTCCCTTGTCCTGTTTTAAGCAAATGATGATAAGCAAAAATTAAAAAAAAAGATAAGTTCGACAAAATCGTTTCGAATTACGAAATATTCCAAACTTGTCTAATTGACTTTGTGACTTAAAGGTATTACAATTGCTGATTCTGGTTCTGATTCTTTCTAAATTCTCCTTTGGGGGATTACCGAGAAGACCTTCGATTCACTGTAAAGTCAAATACTGTAGGATCAACAGCTGCCATTAGGATACGGGAGTTTACGTTCAACAGCTGGCCAACCTACCCAACCGGGAATAACTGAACATCAACGATGCCATTATTTAAACATGCCGTATATAGACGGCCAACTTCGGAATATTTTGGCTATTTCCGGAAAACTGGAGGAATTCCTCCCGTCTTGGTCATACGGACATTGGTTGATACCAGACCCTTGATTCATGGAGTAGTCAGAATCATCGGGTCTGGTATCCAGACTAAGATGAATACACAAGCTACCATTTTGTTGTAAATAAGTCAGGCATCCGAGGGTCGTTACTTCAAGTCACCGGCCGTCTTATTTTGAGGTTACGTCACGGGGCGCCGGGCCAATCACGTTAAACCTTCCGGTGCCAAACATCCCAATCAATAGAGTTTTCAGACCTGGACGGTATACTTCCATTCTAACGGACTCGTAGATCTAGCCGCTCAGAGACCTTCCGGTACTTGCCGTCCGCCATCACGCCAGTGAGGAGGAGGGCGTCCTGCCCTTTGTTGGAGGGGCATGACGTCACATCAATATCACGTGAATCGAAGAAGCGTGCCACCATGCCACACATGGTGCATAGACGCAGAAACTGGCTAACCTAACCTGGATAACCTAACTGGATAAGCGCCACTTGCGTAACGCATTGAGTGAGCTCGATCTCGCACCTGTCAGAATTTCACCCACAATGCTCTGTGTGTCGTTAGCTGTGACCTTGTGTGACGTATTTCCTTCACAAAAACCTGTGCGCTAGGCGATGAGCAAAACATATACCGGGCCTTTTTACCAATCTGAACATGCACACATTGGTCAGAGTATGCATACGTAGTTCTTGCAATGAATTGAAAAAAGACCGGTATGTCTGCTGCCACCAGCGTCTCAAAGTCTCCCATTGGTTGGGTAAGACTGTAACACACTGCCGACTCCTCTGAAATTCACCAAATTAAAGAACAAAGTGGGGATTAGGCTCCAGTCGGGCACACAGAAATATAAAAGTTTGTAAAACTCACCGTACGCCAAGTTTGCTAGAAAGAAATCGCGACAGTGTTCCCCACCAGGAGAGTGGGCTGCGAATTTGTGACTTGAATGCTGACGTCGATATTTGCAACTTTGGGCAAGGCGTGAATTTTGTACGTGACTACTGACCAAAGATATCTTCTTGCCCAAAGACTTGTTTTACTGTTTTGTTTCGACCGGTGTACCGCGTGCAGGCGACATACGCTGGCGAGCATGCATAGCCAAATAGCATTATTGTAGAGGGCGCTATATTCACAACAGACGACCTGCCAGAAAACCAGTCTTGCAGAATCTGGCAGGCTCACCCGAAAAATTCCGAGTGGTATTCGGCTGTGCTCGCCAGCGCATGTCGCCTGCACGGTGCACAGGCCAAACAGTAAAACCGGTCTTGGAACAATATTGACAATTACTTATGTCTTTTCAGGGCCACTATACACAATTTATGTAATTAAGTACATTTGAGAGTTGTGGCTGCGACACTGCGTAAAGTCTACACTCAATGGTATACGATATTACGCCCAGCCGTTTCCAGTTGGTTAAGAAAGAGACACGACTTAGATTGGCTCTCAAATGCTTTCAGTTGTGTCTGACATGCATCCACGTGTTTCCGAATAACAGGTACCAGACTAGCTCATTCTGACAAAAGCTGTGACGTCGAAACCGGCGAAAATATGGCGGATAATTGTGGTAGGAGACCCTCCCCGTGTGGCCTCTGCATGTGACAAAAATATTACTGATTTTAACTGGCAAATATGACACGCCGTGATGGAGATGCAACCATCAAGATGATAAGAATGGATCGCCAGGAGCCAAGGCCGAAGAAACACTCACTTGGGACTGAAAGTAGGGACGACACTTCGCCGACGTCGTCGGCATCCAACATGTCCAAGCACCGGCATGATCGCGATACTGCTCGGTCAACTTCTAACTCGCTACCGGGGTCAAGGGCTTCGTCGCGGCCCGGATCCCGTATGGCTTCCCGCACCAACAGCCAGGAGTCTATTATTGATCTCTTTGATAGCATGACGCTGGCGTATAGCCGGAATGGGTATGAAAATGTAGATTAACATTAGGTATGTTTAAATTGGCCGGCACAATTGCAGAATACCCCGCACTCACCTTGCCCACCTCGTAGCATTCGCGGATACGGAGTCACGCTTTCATCCACAAGGCCCACTGTGTATCCCCGTATCCACGTAGCCGCTCCCTGGGACCCACATTGGATTTGCGAAAATTCTTCTGCCGTCCGCATTTACTTTGCATTTCAGGACGCACAAGGCCCACTTCGTATCCCTGATCGGCGTAGCCGCTCCCCGGGACCCACATTGGAGTCTTTGGACTTAGGAAAATTCTTCCCTCTTTCCCATTCACTTAGTGTTGCAGTGCCTCATTCTCAAGAATGACTTCAGTGCAGTACACAACGCGTACCTTGACGCAGCAAGGATAACCCGAAGTCTAACAACTTCCACTTGACTATGTAGCCATGGATTTTAGGGGGTGTTTTCGCATGGCGGGGTATTCTGCAATTATTCCAATAGGCCAAGCTATCCCCTCTCCCCCCCTTAAAACTGTGGTGTTGGGTCCGATGTCCGTTCCGCTCCCACGAACCCCTCAGCAAATGAGCCTTTTTCGCCATACGCTCTACATGACGTTTAACACGAACAGGGATTCTGTTCTACTTTTCTAGTTGTGTACCCATAGAAATGCTGCTCCATTCCCCCAAGATTTCTATGTATGGTAGCTTACATACCTTGAGTACCAAGCACAAAGCATCCAACCTGGGCTGAGGGCCTTGCCATGCCTGCCAAGAATACATGTAATTAACGATCTGTCATCTGACGTCTGATGATCCCTCAGTCTAGAGCAACAGATGGTCATGATGGTTCATCATTTAATACCATCATGCATTGTTACATGTACATGTAACTTTTTCAAAAGAATTTCATGTACGCATGTCACTTTAGGCCTAAGACTCTAGTAATACTTTGCTGAGAGAGGTGATTAAGCCTGGTTCTACCTGAATATTTTCACTGGTGAATATGCTAAAATATCTGACTTTTGTCCATTTTTAGCAAATAGCTTTGAGATGGCTAATGCAGGGAAAAATTTGTGGCATCCATACCTACATCTAGGCTACATGTATGGAATTCTTGCCCACGTGACAATACATGTAACAATGTGTAGATGTAACTTTGTAAGTATGAAACCAGAGGAAGATGTTCAGTTGCTTTGTCAGTAACATGTATCATTTGGACTTTGAATTTGTCAAATGTCCACTGCCCAACATTTTTGACATTTTGTTTGAGATGACAGATATACAATTGTACACAAATTGCTAGGATTTATCCGCTCTGAGCAGAACAAAAGAGGGCGTGTTTTTTGGTACTCACCGCATAGGTGTGCCTGAGTGATCTGAGTGATCCCTGTTCACCACTTCCCAGGTTGCATCGTGTAATTGGGGCGCCATCCCTTGACTTATGTTGGACATACATAGTCCTTCCCCATATCAGCTGTCCCTTTACTGTCCACAGTACACCATCGTTGCACCCAGCCGCTCACATACATGTACATGTAGCTTTTCTGTGTTAGCGTCACAGATTGTACATGCAGGGTACAACGTGTGTCACCAGTCAGTACATGTAACTCTTACTTGATGGATAAGCCAATCAGACCCCTCATCCGTGATGTAGTTATTCATAATTGCATATGAATGACATCATCTTGCAGAATGTATACAGAATTTGATACTTGATAGATAAGCCAATCAGACCCCCTCATCCGTGATGTAGTCATTCATAATTGCATAACATTTGAACGACATCATCTTGCAGAATGTATACAGAATTTGATACTTGATAGATAAGCCAATCAGACCCCTCATCCGTGATGTAGTCATTCATAATTGAACGACATTATCTTGCAGAATGTATACAGAATTTGATACTTGATAGATAAGCCAATCAGACCCCTCATCCGTGATGTAGTCATTCGTAATTGCATAACATTTGAACGACATCATCTTGCAGAATGTATACAGAATTTCCTCCATTCAAAATAGTCACATGTGGAATGTACTCCAATCAAAGTTGTCAGATTCGTAGACTCGTTCATTGTACATGTAATAGAGGTACCGAAATGAACAATGTAAAAACAAGTCCTGCAGTCTGATTGGCTTCCACAATTTTTGGTAGATAATCTCATTTGCTGTGTACAAACGGTCGGCAGATTCGACAAGTTGGGATTTCTCAACTCGCAGTGATATGATAAGTGGACACGAGGGTGCAAACCAAGTAATGCTGCATAGCCAATATGGCGCAGCCTTAGTATCCAAAGCATGCACATGTCGCACCGAATCCTAACGTGGGTCAAGTCAATGTGATCCCTGGCTATGGGTGTTTCAGGTTACATAGCTTCTGACTAGCATGCCCCTGAACAAAGATATTGACAAACGGGAAGAGCAACCAACGTAGGGCTCAGTTGGTATAGCACTAGTACGGTATTCTGGAGACCGCAGGTTCGAATCCCACTCCTGTCTATTTCTTTGTTCATCTTTGTAATCATTTGTAAGCACCTACATTGTAGTCAGTTTTCCTATATAGTTTTTCTCATGATTTTTATTCCAACTGCTGTCAGTTTTGATCAAGCTTTTAGGGATTATTTGAGGAGCCGGATCACAAACAGGCCCCATACATGTTGAATAAAAACATCAAAACATGGTTTTAAATATTATTTTCCCCAAAAAAGTACATGCATACATGTAAACTTGTCAGTGGTAAAACAAAAGAGCATACCCTGGTAGGATTTGTTTGTGTACCAAAACGTCCCTTGTACATGTACATTTACATGTTGCTCTTTGGCTTACAGTGGATTCAAAGAACAGACTGCTTTTTACATGTCCATGTACACGCAGTGTATGCACTAACAGTAGAGCTTTAATAAAATAACATAGCATGTTCTTTTACATGCGGTTGTGGCTTGCACTGAATTCAGCAAACGCTTTTCCCTGATTCTTTCATTTTGTGCATGTACATGTACCGTAGAGGGTAGAGGGAAACAGGATTTGTTAACAGGAGTTACGTGTGTATACACAAAAGGGAAGGATCAGTGGAAAGCAGGATTTGACAAATCCTGTGACCTGTACTTTTGACAAAAGTTAGAGCATGGTTTGAAACCTGGGCTGAATTTCATGGCGCTGCTTACCGTAGCAGAAACTTCTGTGCTTACGGCAAAAGAGCAAGGAATTTTTGCTTGTAAGCATGCGTACATCCCGTAACTGAGAATTCTGTGCTGAAAACTTAAGGTGGATAGCCGTGTTAGTCTATCCCAAACAGTATTGAGAGTTTAAGTAGCACTTAAAGACTGAGTAGATAAATCATAAGCTTTCGTAGTAACAACTACATGTACTTCATCAGATGAGCTGAAAACATCAGCGTAGAATTTTTCTGCTTGTGCGATTAGCCAGAATGGAGATCGCATTCGTGGAATTCTGCTGTAATTACATGTAGGCCCCGGCAAGTATTTTACCCTTGGCATGTATGTCAAGGGCAAATGTACATGTACATCATGTACAGTGTACAGTTAGCATGGTTACACATACTGAAACGTACATGTAGTACACATCAAGCTTACATGTACCGGTAAGTGAAATGAAAAATTCAAGATACACTGTAGTTATTAGTTTCAGTGTGATTTGATTCAGATTGCCTGATTTGAATCTTTTAATACAAAATAGGATTTATTCATTCTTGTAACAAAAGAAATAAATAATTGAAACTAATGGAAATGTAGCTGTCTCCATATGATTATGAGTGCTGGTCTCTTGCTCTTGACGGGTATCTGGAGATCACTACGACCCTCTTGATGGTCAGGTGCAGAATGATGACGATGATGATGGTGATGAATGGACTTACAATGTAGGAAAAATTAGGCTGACTTACATGTACCACCATTAAAAAATGAAAAATGTGATTTAATTTTAACAATCTGATTTAAAATAAACAAACTCCAATTTTAATATTTTTTGCAAAACATAAAAAACAAACACACAATTGCCAACCCAGTCAAGTGAGCACAGCATTCCACTGGCATGAACCAGACTAACCTTAATTTAATTAAGAGGGAACATTTCCCTGACTGCAGTTCATTGTGAGTGCATGTGTGTACTCTGTGCTAATGCTCAGTATTGGCACGTTGCCATTCAACATGTCCAAGGGTCATTGTCATGGTAATATGGCGTGAATGGTTACCCAACTCACCTTTGAAAGGTTGAAGTTTTTAGTGGCAAATCTACGTACATGTACATATGTATGTATGTGGTCCTGTCTGTTTATTCATGTACATAACGTACATATACGTGCACCATGTTAAAGTACTATAATCTTCAACCTTAACCCTAACACTCCTCAATCCTTCACCTGTTGGAGGACTGAGAAGTGTTAGGGTTAATGCTAATCTTGCATTGCAAAACACATTCATACATTTGTAAATACCTAAGACCGTAGAGCTATTTTAATACACATGTAGCTCTATGCTCAGACAGTCTCCCGACTCAACAACGTGCAACTTGACTGCGTATTAACATTTGATAATGCCTGCTGCATAAAACACGCACTGGCACCTGCATGCAACACAGTTTAATGGATTCTGGTTGGTCAAGAGTCTGTGTGCATGCGGCTTGCCACGTGTGCACCAATTGGACAATTTGATTACGGAATATTCCGTAAAGTGGACTTGGGTGTTCAAGAAAGTGATAGTAAAATTCTAGATCAAAATCGCTGGAAATCCATCCTATCTTGACCTCTTTTGACTCTGTGACTCAAAAGGTACATGTATTTATGAATGGGAATACATGTAAATATGTGCTTGGCCGGTCTTAAATGCTGATAATGCCCTTACGGGCAGCTGGGGCACTAGTCATGTCCTTTCTCCTAAGCCGGTCGTAAACGCACATTTGAGACCTGGCCAAGCACATATTTACTCTCCTATTATTAACCCTAACCTTCCCTAACCACACAGAATTCAACAACAGTAAAGTGTGTGAGCCTGTGA